TGCAATCTGCTCACGGTGGATTAAAGTTGGCAGCGGCTGCTGCTGTTGGGCTGCTGCTTCCTGCAAGAGCTGCTGTTGGAGCGGAAGAACGTGAGTTTCCAGCTGCCTTTTGTATCTCGGCCGTTCCAATCTCCGGGGGATGAATGGATGCATAATAAGCTTTCTTGCTTCCAGATTTGGATGAGTAGAGAGTGATGTTGCCATCCTGCTGCTATACGTATTAAAGATGTCCTCTGCTGAGTCGATGTTGTGTGCCTCTCGGATGTCCTGGCTTCTGATGTATCTGCTGGCCATTGCAATCTTTCTCACGAGCCGGTTTTGCGTGCCTTCTATCCTACAGAATTGAGAGTCACATACCAAGGCCCCCCACACAGGTAGGGCATATTTCCATATCGGGGCGATTAATTGCTTATATACAATCATTTTGCATTCTTTTGACAGACGGCTCTGGCTGCCTATAATCCAGTTTAACTTGATGGCTGCTCCCCTCACTCTATCAACCAGACATGATACATGTGCATGTAGAACCAGCTTCCTGTCCATTATCAGTCCTAGGTACCGGTGACTGGACTTATTAACAATATGAGTATCATACATTTTTGGTGACAGTTCTCTAATTCCATTTTCAATTGATTTCCTTGTGTATAATACATGTATCGTTTTGTCTTTGTTTAGGCTGATGCCCCATTTAGAGGCCCAGGAGGTGAAGCTTTGGAGATATTTCTCGTTCGTACGGACCGCTGTAGTGGCCAAGCTTCTGGCACACAGGATGATGGTGTCGTCTGCGTATGTAGATAGCAACATGTCCTTATAGTAATCTGACCTCCATCTATCATTTTGTCCCTCTAGGTGCGGCAGCGGCATATCTGACGTGAAAACAGTATACAACACGGGGCCTAGGACACTCCCCTGTGGGACTCCAGCGCAGATTTTTCCGGATCTAGATCGTAGTCCGTTTTGGCCATTTACAATAAATGATCTATTAGTGAGATAACTTTCTAGAACCTTGTAATACGCAAAAGGCAGTAGCTTGGCCAGCTTGAGCAGTAGGCCACTATGCCAAACTCTGTCGAAGGCTTCACTTATGTCTATGAAAACAGCAGAACAGTATAATTGTTTTTCGTAGGAGTCCAGAATGTATTGCGTGACGCGTGCCAATTGCTGCTCAGTGCTATGATGTCTCCTAAACCCAAACTGGTGAGAAGGAATGGCATTTTCAAATTCCCTGCATTCAAACATTCGTTTCATTAGCAGCGTTTCAAAAAGCTTTGAGAAGCCAGCCAAGAGGCTAATTGGTCGGTATGAGCCAACATCATTTGCGCTTTTGCCTGGTTTCTTGATCATTGTAATTGCAGCACATTTCCATTGTTTGGGAAAATGGCCGTGTCTAAGTATCGAGTTATAAATGTATGTCAAGTAAATGACTGCTTTATGAGGCAGGGCTTTTATAACTCTATTATTTACCCGATCCATCCCAGGGGCTTTTTTATTTTTTAGAGATCTAATTTCCAGCATGACTTCATTTGGTGAGATGGGCCTGAATGGAGGTTTATTTCCGTCGCTAGTTTCCCCAAATTGCTGCCTTTGGAGCCATTCCGGTGTTGCTGTTAAGCGCTTTAGCTGTTCTAGTTCTTTGCGCTCCTCTTCCACCCCGTTCCTGAATTCCTCAGTGTTGACTAGTTTTGGTGCAAATCTTTCTTCTAGGTGCGAAACAAATGCCTCAGCTTTTTCCTCGCTAGTTCTTGTCCACTTATGGTCACCACCGCTACAACTAAGGATTTTTAAAGGCCAGTTTGGTTCTGGGTGTCTCTTGATCTTGTTTGTCAGCCTCCACAATTTGTCCATCCTATAACGATCGTCAGCGTCTACTTCTTTAAAAAGTTTATTCATCTGGCTATTTTTCTTTTCACGAATTGCCTTTTTAAGTTTCGAGTTTGCTGCATTACATAGCCGTCGCGACTCTGATGTAGGCCTACGCATGTGCTCACGCTTGAGCTTCCATTTTATTCTTAGGAGTCTTTGAGTTTTCCTATCGATTGGTAATCTTCCTGTGCCTGGCGCAAACCGCGAAGATGTTATCGTAGTAGCAGTCGCCGCTGCATTATATATGTTTTGGTAAAAGATGTCGATCGCATCCTCAATGTCTTCTCCTGATTTAACTTGGATATTTAAATTTATACGCTGCAGTAAGTACTCCTGAAACTTTCTGATATTAGCCTTGTTGGGCAACAACCTGCGATTAGTTTCAAGCGTTGTCGCCGTGCCACTGATGGCCAAGCTAACAAATATCGGAAGATGGTCTGATTTCAGATCAATTGTTGAGTATGTGTCCAGTCGCTCGTAGCTAATGCCTGCATAAACTGCAAAATCGATAGCAGAGGGCCTTTTCCTTGCATCAAAGGGGAAGTGCGTTGCTCCCCCTGTGGCCAGGACGTTTAGCCTACTGTTTGAATGGATGGCTTCCATTAGAACTCTCCCCCTTTTGCATGATCTAGCGTTACCCCACCATTGGTGTTTGGCATTAAAATCTCCTCCTATTATAAATTTAGAGCCAGAGCAGAGATTTCCCATATAGATAAAGAGTTTTTTAAAATGTTGTGCCGTCCAAGTGGCAGTTGGCGGGCAGTATATAGGTGCTATTGCAATTACCTCGTTGTTACTTGTAGTTAGCGCTATTGGGGCACATTGTAGGAATTCTTCTTCGATGGGTTCTAGTGCAGTGTGCTTGATGCCGGCTTTTACGTAGATTGCTACTCCACCTCTTCTGCTGACAGAAGGGTGTGACGCCGCATATCTTACGTATCCATTTATAGTAAGACTGTCAGATATAGTGGTGTTAGTGTTGACATGTTTGGCTATACGGGTCTCTATAATCATCATTATGTCAACATTGTGTCGCTGCATGAAAAACTCTAGTTCTAAGATTTTATTCCTGAGGCCACAGGCGTTCCAGTAGACAATTTTAAAAGAGTTGTTGTAATGGACACCTGTTGAAGAAGTATCAGTAGGGTCAACAATATCTGTGTTGGCATTTGTAGTGGTGGCAGCTAATGGACTGGTTGAGTCGTTGCCCGAATTAGAGTTAAAGAAATTATTTATTTGGTTGTAATTATTCATTAGCAAGGTCATTAGCGTTAGAGACAGTTTGTCTGTTATTTGAAATAATAAATGCATGTATTAAATCAATAAGGGCATCCATTTTTTTACCCATTTCACTTACAACCAGCAAGTTTTGGCTTACTACTTGCATCAGTTGGTCAATCCCATCTGAGGCCCCAAGCTTCTGGTAGTGTTGATTCTGGGGCGACTGTAGCTCTCTATGTTGTTGTTGCTGTTGTTGTTGGTGTCCACGGGGGTTGGGAGGAGACCTGCCAATGTTGCTGTTGCCCTGATTTACATCAGATTGCTGCATGTTTTTGCTGGAATGTTGGCGGCTTGGCGCCGTATTAATAATATTAGAGTTCCTGCTTGCGTTTGGCTGTTGGGGAATATTTTGTTGCCGCTGCGGGCTTGTGGGCGTATTCTTCTCTGATCCTCGATGATGCTGCTGTACCTGCTGCCCATGGGAATGCACGCCATTTTGGCCATGCGACTGCTTTTCGTTGATTCTAAAAGGATTACTGGAGAGTTGGCCATTTGAGACCCCGTTAGTGTTTTTCCTGCTTGTCGCCAGCTGTGAGTCTTCCTGAGGCGGACCCTTCTGTGATTTGGTCAGAC